CTAGGGGAGAATATATTTATTGTGAAATTCACAATTATGCACAACAGCTCCAACCAACTTAACAGTATACTTCGGTTTTAAGGCGGATGTTATGCTCGGGGAAAAAATAATCAAGGACTACGGCTGTTTACAGTTTAGCCGCCTCATGATACAAAATAGCAAATATTTCGGACATTTCTGACTGCTGATATTTACAAAGAGACCGTCCACGGGCAGACAGGTGATGCTCATCCAAACTTGTAAAGGAATGAAAGCTAAACTTTTACAAACTCAAGAAACTGGTAGGGAGATCAACTTACAGTACTCAGATTTTTCCAGTCCAATAGTTCACTTAGACGCTCCGTTCGATTTCGCAGGATAACGCGCTGTCGGCGAGAGTAGTTGCAGAATTCGAACAAGTACTGATGGTGGTAAAAAGATAATTGTAGGAACATTGCAAAAACACGTATATTTGAAAATAAAGCGAAATGAACGGTGGGGATGTAACTGTAAATGTTTCAAAGACCATTCCGAACATGACTGCGTAGGGTTGGAAAACTTGTAACTTACTAACTTTTCAATGTGTATTTACCCCAAAAAATATGTTATCACTATCCTCACGGTCTTGCTTTTTATTTATGCATAATAAAATACTACAGCTACGAAAATGTCATTTAGTCTTAAGGGAAATGAATAAAACATTGGTAACGTACCCTGGTTAATTGTTCTACTGAGGCGTCTACATTCTGGAAGCGACGATCGACAATGTAAATGCCATAGGATGAAGGGTCTTCAATGTGTTCCTCCATAAAGCATCCAAAGCCCGAAAGGTTTGTTGTCACTGATGGGATACCCATAACGGTACATTCGGCTAAATAAATTTAAAAAATAGTAAAAGTAACTTATTTACTCACGAACTGTTGAGGATGTTGGGTTCCTTTTTGGTGGGGGCTTTTTAAAAAGTTATATTGACGTGGAGTTAGGCGGTAGCTGATTTAAATAGAAGTTTTGACTATCACGGTGCCAGAGGATGGTACAGGGGTGACCGGAAGAGCAAATCTGCTTTCAGTTTAGGTGGCATCAGTGGCATCTGTTTTCCATTCGAGTTTGGGAAACGAGTACCCAAATTAATTTTCAGCTTCACCAAGAGCCACATTGACGGTCACGTTGTTGACAGTGACTCCGAGGAAGTCTACTTGATAAAAAACAGACTCGAGTTCGTGTGGTTGATTTGAATGCTGATGGAAGAAAACACTACAAACCCTGGATGGCACAACACAATATCTGTTGCTTTAGATAAGAAGCGGCTATTTCGTTTCTTTGCATCAATTCCCTTCATCCCGCATTTATCTTCGTAAAGAAAACACGATATTATTGGCAAACCATTTTTAAGCTGTTTTCGGAAAGCACAAAAAAACATAGAGTTAAAGTATGCTGGACAAACAATGACCGGAGAAACCAGATCGATGTCCTGCTTCTTCCTGCCAGAGCACACTATTTTAGTTCTTTGGAGATTTGGTTTATGCTGTCGATTTGAGGTTGCCGACGGACGCAACACGCCAGCCAAATATTCGGTCGTCAAATAAGTATACTGGTTAGGAGGTCACAGCCGCTACCCACATGCACCACTGCAACAACACCAGTCAAAATCCGGGTCTGATAAGCGTGCAGCGATGGCGGCGACCGTGGCCGCGCAATTCGAACGCGCGGCGGCGGCGGCATCGTCGTTCTAGCTTCTTTTCGGACCAATGAAGCTAACGCCTTCTCGATTTCTCTCTCCCCTTCTAGAGGTAAGGTTACTGGTTGCACTGGTAAAAAGGGCAAACGATAGCTAAGGGGACACTTCCCCTGAGAAACCTGACATTTTGACAACACCGGTGGAATAGAAGCAGACGAAGAAGATACGGCGACGGTGTAGAAATCATGTAGGCAAGCGAATAACGACAAACAAATGAAGGGTGAGTTTGGAGTTCTGCAAAACACAAACGTAAAATTTCCTAGGTGTTTATGTTTTCTTGAGTTATGCCTTTGCTCTCAGAGAATAACTTCATCTGACTTTTTCCGATTTCACTCTTTCCTGCCGAACCCATTAACAAGACGCAGGGAGGTAATCAAGACAAATTGGTGTTTGACTCCCACAGCCAACCCCATTTGCTACCTCCGTCTTCAAAAATGCGAGTAGCTGATGCATGTGTCACTACTTTCGGATCAGCAGTGTCTGCTATAGTAATAAGTCTACCTGACTTCGTTCGTTAAGGACATGTGGAGGATGAGTTCTGAGGCTAACTTGCTCGAAAAATCTTGACAAGTTCAACGAACGGAGAACTCGGCTCGGTCGACGAAGTTAGGACCCAGAGGTACAGAGAAGACGATCTGCTGCAGAAAAAAGCAAAACAACTGACAAATTCTATCAGAGAAAGAGGCTAATCACCGCCGATAAATGGTCCGAACTGAGTTTTTTCCCCTTTTAACTCCGTCAATTCTGATTAAACCGTACGTGTTCAACGTTCGCTGATTAGCAACTCTT